ATAGATTTCTTTATATGGAGTTAAAATATCCAGAACTGCATACGTTTTAATGGTTACATCTTGGCCACAAATAACAGTCTGTTGTCCAGGGCATCTGGAATGATTATCAGAAAAATAGCCAGCATCTAGATTATCAGATAAATTAGCCCAGCTCTCACTGTTCCATCTTCAGCACCAGCCATCAGGTTTTAATATTTGCATGGAGCTCGAGAATGTTGTTGATGGCCAGATCAGAGAAATGGGGGTCAGTATAGAGCTTCACACCACATGATAAACATTCCTTAGTGTGTTTGCCAAATAATGAGTCAGATTCTCTGACTAGCCCCCAGTAAAGTATCCCATGTTACAATTTTATGTGTACCTTTTCTGTCTTTGGGTTTTTACTAATTCTCTGTATAGGATTTTGGTTTTTGATGTCCTTTATGTAATATGTGGAATTAAAAAAAATGTACAGAAGTGTTTAGTGACGTGCTCTCTGTTTAACCTCCAACTCCTCAAATGTTGCATAAAGATAGCCCTATACTGAAGGGACAGTATAAGCACAATTAGCACTAATGATCAAAACAACCTGGGAATGATAAAAACTTCGAAGGCGTTGGACCACCAACACAGAAATACGAACATATGCTGTTCATTCTCCTTCACTGGAAAAGGACTTCATCAGGACACTGCTGTTCAGAGAACATTAACAGCTCGTCTCTGCCGTACAGTTGAAATTGTGGTCCGCATAAATACTTTTAGAATTTGCTAGAGTTGTGTGTGTGTGTGTATATAAAAAGTACCGTGACAGCAACTGGTGGTCTCTCTCAGTAGAGGACGTCGGTCTACATCCTTTTTTATAGGACCTTAAAATTGTCAATGAGGAAAGATCTGGAATTAGTCGTAATTTAGACCAATTATGTAAGCATGACTGTTGACTCAAGTACCTTGCTGGTCCAAGGTGGAATGGAAACCAGATGACAGATCAGCCCTCCGGGACCAAGAGTGAACATTAGAGTTCCACATCAAGTACTTATAAAAGAGTCATAAAAAGACTCAGAACTGAAGTTTAGTGAGTCGAGAGATACAGGAGCAATGGTTATTAGGAGGGAGTGTGACGAAACAGCTGGTTAAATGGATTTACAGATGGAGGGCTTGAATTTTTGCTGTTGTCTGTAAGACAGTACAGCAGCTGTAAATGTAATGCACCCCTGGGAAATTAGCTTGCAAAGCCACATTAATGCACACTGTTTCAAGTGCTACACTGTAATTCTAGCTTTGCTCATGTTTGTGACATTACAGTGATTGCACAATTGGTTTTGAGCAGAGGTGTTTGTATGAACAGCCCTTTATTCCCATAGCTAAGAAATCATTTTGTTTTTCAAAGGTAATTTTGTACTGTTGTGCATCATGTTAATGGTCTCTTTTTTTTCCATGTAGGGATATGCTTGGCGCTGAAGAATTTTCATCAGAGTTAAGAATAAATATCCACTAGACAGCCAACATTCGACATGGATGTAGAAGAGTTCCCTCCCCCTCCACCGGAAGGTACTGTAAATATCTGTATCGGGGTCATTGGCTTCTTCCTACCCACTTCCACTGAATTCAAGCCCTCGCGCTTCAGGACAGTCCTGGGCAATCCTGTGATCACCGTTATGTCCAATAATCCTTGTTTTAAAGGGGCAATTAATGTCTTTTGTTTTCAGATAAATCACCAAAACCTATGATTACAGATCAATTTGGCCTGTGTTGTATGTACCTTTGCAGCGTTCTGGGTGACACGTAGCAGTCATTATGCTGCAGGAGCCCCTATTAAATCGGGTATAAAACACTGTGGGGAAAATGGGATATCAAGGAAATGGATACTGGAGCCCAGTGCTTGAAGTTAGTAATTAGAAACTTGAATAACGTTGGTGCAGCTTTATGTTAATGTGCTAGTACCACAATTCTTTTATTAATATTTTTAGATTTAGTGAGATTTGTCTGATCTTCACATTGTATTCCTTTGTTTTACTATGATGTAATAAAAATGGTAATTGCCTAATTACTATAATCTCATAATACTTATCTGTTAACAACTTATGATTTTACAGGATAAAAAGACCTATTTGTCATTCATATAGATATTTGTTTTTAATATGAATGAATAGATTTATTTTCTGTGATGATTATACTGTAAGTCAAATAGACAGTTCCAAACTAGGGGCCATTGAGCATGTCTGGTTGCTAGCAGGTAATTGGATCTCATCTGAGCTGTTTCTTGGAAGAAGCCAAGGTCTCAACTTCAATAACATGGCTGGGTAGCTCACTCCAGCCCCCACAATCCTTTTCTTCTCCAGTTTCTTTTGCAAAGGACTTGATTTGAAAAATAATAATAGACTTTGGCTTGTTTGTGCAATTATTCTGTTACATTCTGAGATGATTGCCTAGTTTCAGGAGTGATGTTTCTTATGTGTAGACAGTAAATATTAACTATTAATCGAGTTCCACAATTTCAATCTCTGACTTAGTTTTTCGGCAACTATTTTATACCTTAATAGCCTAAAAAGTCAATTGATGTTTCTCTTATAGTCAAAATGCAGACTTAACTATTGACAGTACTTCACAAAGAATACAGTATATCACTTGTGCAAAGTCTCCTTCAGTCGGCCAGTGAATTTGCAAGGCAAGCTTGATCTGTTGTGACATCACAAACATGAATTAGCCACAGCCAGGTGGTGAACTGGAGTCTGCGATAATAGCATCATCTCCAAAGCTGGGGCAGCATGCTGACTATACCATCAAACTGCACCGCTAATTTTGTTGACATCTAGGCGGCATGCAGACACATGAAGTTCTGCAGATTTTTGCCCACTTTTTAAGCATTTTGGTTTCTCTTCTAATACACTTCCAGAAAACCCCATTTTTGCCTGTTTTTAGAGGAGTTTGTTGACTGGTAAGGGGCAGTTTGTTTATTTATCAAATTGTGAGTCTTACGTCATAGCATAATTTTTCTGATGTGAGCTTTGATGTGGAATATATCTGGGTCAGTACACTGCGTGTTGTTTTGTTTTTAAAGTGTTGCCTGAGTGGCTTTGGCAGTTCTGGGTAATATGTTGACTTAATTTGATAAAATAAGATGTAACTTCACCATCTGCCCACAGCAGCTGGGCACTTTACCAACAGTTCAGGCATTCAGCAACTGCCGACTTCAGCATCTGTTCATACATGTACAGTTCTCTCCAGATATATACGTACCCTTAATACAGTGAAACTGCTCGACGGTTTAGCAAAAACAAATGCCAAATTGCATTTATGCCAACTATATACTGTATGTACCCGTATTCATCCAAAAGACACAGGTGCCTAGTTAGAAAATTATATAATTGCTAGAACTGCAAGCTGTCTAAGCTACTGATTGCTTTAGTACAGCATGGTTCAAAGGACGTTGTAGTCTTTGCTTGTGCAGGAAATATTGATATCCGTAATTGTTCTTGATAATTGATGAATACATTAAGCTTCAGAGCTTCTAGTGCTGTTGTAACTGTGGGCGTTATAGAAATGCTGAAAAAGAATTGAATCATGACAACTGTATAATTGTTATGTTTAAAGACTTTTGAAAGTGCATGACACTAGTTTTTAAAATATTCTGACTTCATATTATTTAATTCCTGATCACAAAACTTTTTCGTTGAAGCTTATTTTGTTTTAATGTTTCTGCCAACAAAAGCAGAACAGAAGCACATTCAATTTGTTAAATAAATATCTGGATGCAGATCCTGTTGTGTATTGTAGTAACGCTAGTAGCATTTACAAAATATCTGCTATATTGTTGGAGAGATGTGTATTTGAATAATAATAGCCATGATGATTTGACCCCTGGTGAAGTATTTACTGTGTATCAGAAGGTATTTAGAAATTATTAAAAATCCTATGAAAGTTATTAAAAGTTTAGTTTCTGCGTATTTCTTGTTAAAACTGTTTGAAAGGTTCTGATATTTTCTCACATAAAAAAACATACATACAATGTATCATATAAAAATAAATTTTAAAAATATAGGAGAAAGAGCTTTTTAAATCAGACTCCAGACTCCAACAACTGGTTATATCCCCGGAATTTTTGTTTTTTTGCTTGACACTCTAAGCAAATTGATTTCAAGTCATAGATTCCAAGCCTCTGCCTCTTGACAATACGTAGGATGAAACTGAGAAGTGAAGTGTGGAAGAGAGCAAAACCCGAACAATGAACTCTGTATTGCAATTTGTGAATACTGCAGTGTCAGAAGTACAGAAGCCTTTAATAAAAGAATGCATCTCCCAGCTGGACTGCTGTGTTCTTTGTTGGTGAGAGATGCCTGAATTTCGTCTAAAAGAGTGACTAATTTTACAGAGCAGGGCCAAGCAGTGGGGACAGAAGAACAAAACCATATTGTTGTGATGAATTGTCGATTGTTTGACCAGTCAAGTTGCTGCTAGCTTTTTACACAGTGAACATCTAAATTCTTTTTATTTCCTTATTTCCTTCTTGAAATAAACTAGAACTGACTGTACTACTAAAAGTAATGAGAATGATTTAAATGTACATGGTCTCTTCTCAATTACTGTTTTTATTTCCCCTTTCTTTTTGGTCAAACTGTTAAAAAGTAAACAAAGTACTGGAAAAATAATTGAACAGATTTTATGTCTTCCTTTCTGGGATCTTTATGTTTCTTGAGATTCTCCATCAACCTTTGTGCAGTTAAAGAATTTGAAGATGGAAAAAAAAAACGGGCGTTTTTTTCTTTGGACTGTGCAGATGCACACTGCTGTGGTGGCCTGAATAATAAAAATGAATGAGTCTGGGAATCTCTTCACTTTTAATGTATTCACTTCACTTGTAAGTATTAAACAGGAGCTTCTGGCTGTGCTCCTCACTGTCATTATTTATTTTTGTTAATATTTTTTGCTATCCAAAGTGTTCATGGGAGCACATTGTATTTAACAAACCAAATATAGTGAAAATTGCAAAAATATTATTTTATTTTTTTCAGCTGTGGGATGAACAGGTTTTCATTCATTTATCAATTTTTTGAACCGCTTCTTTTAATTCAAGGTCGAATTTAGGTTTCATTCGCATTAGCAGAAAGGTGTTTTGACGTGCAAAGCATTCAGAACGAGCATTCAAGGGGCAACACTGTCATATACTGTAAGCCAGTGGTTCTCAAACTTTTTGGACCAAGTACCACCCCTAATCTAACCAAAGCATCCAAGTACCACCTACAAGTCATCATCTCATAGGAACCCCAGAAATTCTCAATGACCAACATGAGCGCACGTGCACACACACTCACACATACATATAATATATTATAATAATAAACTTTATTTGATATAGCGCCTTTAAAGGTGGCTTCTCAAAGTGTTTTACAGAAAAAAACAGTAACAACAACAAATAAAAATAATAAAAAAGCACCATTTCAGTGAGAGGGGTGAGCCTGTTTAGTCGAGCAAAGTAGATGTGAATTAATGTTTCGAGCCTTGATACAATTCACAACAGAGTCTAACAGATTTTAAATCGTCAGGCATTTTCTTGACGGCAAAAGTCTTGCGGTGGATGTTGCAATGCATCCATTCATTTCTGGAGCAACCTCTAATTCAACCTCTCTAGCACCGTCGGTACAAACTCTGACGCGTTTTATCCAGTCGATGCCATTCTCTTTGATGAATTCATTCAGAAGCTGAAAATGTGCTCTCCTGTAGTTCCTGTTGGTAAGGGCTTACAGAACAGAAAGTAAACGAGCAAATTGGCCAAATCGACTACAGACTCATCTAATTGCAGTGAAAAACATCTGCTCATCTTAACGCGCTCTACCAGCATACTTTTGATATAATCCTTCATTTCAATAATTCTATGAGTGACTGTGTCTTTCAGAGGGGGCAGCAGGTCGAGCTGTTTAGCAGCTTTTTCTCCACACATAATACGTGTCAGCTCTTTTGCCTGAATAAGGTTCTTCAAAAATAGTGTGGGGCTTACCTGCTTTAGCAACCCGCAAGCTTGTATTTTTCTGTGTTTCCGTTTTTATTTCCGTTTTTATTTTAAGTTTTTATTTCATGCGCGTGGGAGCGAAACACAGAGATGCTCGGTGTATTTTTCTCAAATTAACTTAGAACAGTTCTTAAATATTTTTCGGTTATCTATCACGCTTTCCTGTGCTCACAAGATTACCAGCATTCGTAGCATGTATTTCTATGCATTCCTGTGTTTACAACATTGGCATTGGTTTCAAAATCACGCACATTCTCCTTCCTCCCTATTTGCTGGAGATACAGTAGCTTTTTTTTAAATACAATTGGTTACTTGCATCCATAGCACGCATTCCTATAGAGTGGTATAGAATTACAGAGTATCTCTTGTGTCCACTGAAGTATTAGCGCGCACTGTATCGTAGTACGTAGGCTGTGTATTCGACACCTATTAAAATACAAAATATGAAAACCCGTCCTGATTTTTCAGCACACACAACACAGTTCCAGGGTCATTTGGCGTACCACCTGGCGGCACTCTGCATACCACTGCAGGTACGCGTACC